GGACTTCTAGTAGTATGTTGAATAGCAGTGGTGATAGTGGACATCACTGCTGTGTTTCTGACCTTAGGGGAAAGCTCTCAGTTTTTCCCCATTGAGTATGATAATCGCTGTGGGTTTTTCATAGATGGCTTTTATGATATTGAGGTATGTTCCCTCTATCCCTACACTGTGAAGAGTTTAAATCAAGAAAGGATGCTGTACTTTGTCAAATGCTTTTTCTGCATCTATTGAGAGGATCATATGGTTCTTGTTCTTTCTTTTATTAATGTATTGTATCACATTGATTGATTTGTGGATGTTGAACCAACCTTGCAGCCCAGGGATAAATCCCACTTGGTTGTGGTGAATAATCCTTTTAATGTACTGTTGGATCCTATTGGCTAGTATTTTGGTGAGAATTTTTGCATCCATGTTCATCAAGGATATTGGTCTGTAATTCTCCTTTTTGATGCAAGGGTCTTTGTCCGGTTTGGGGATCAAGGTAATGGTGGCCTCATAAAACGAGTTTGGAAGTTTTCCTTTCATTTCTATTTTTTGGAACAGTTTCAGAAGAATAGGTATTAATTCTTCTTTAAATGTTTGGTAGAATTCCCCTGGGAAGCCATCCAGCCCTGGGCTCTTGTTTGTTGGGAGATGTTTGATTACTGCTTCAATTTCCTTAGTGGTTATGGGTCTGTTCAGGTTTTCTATTTCTTCCTGGGTCAGTTTTGGTAGTTAATACATCTCTAGGAATGCATCCATTTCTTCCAGATTATCTAATTTGCTGGCATACAGTTGCTCATTATATGTTCTTATAATTGTATTTCATTGGTGTTGGTTGTGATCTCACCTCTTTCATTCATGATTCTATTTAGTTGGGTCATTTCTCTTTTTGATAAGTCTGGCCAGGGGTTTATCAACCTTATTAATTCTTTCAAAGAACCAGCTCCCAGTTTTGTTGATCTGTTTACTGTTCTTTTGGTTTCTATTTCATTGATTTCTGCTCTGATCTTTATTTCTCTTCTGCTGGGTTTAGGCTTTATTTGTTGTTCTTTCTCCAGCTCTTTTATGTGTAGGGTTAGGTTGTTTACTTGAGACCTTTCTTGTTTCTTGAGAAAGGCTTGTATTGCTATACTTTCCTCTTATGACCGCCTTTGCTGCATCCCAAAGGTTTTGAACAGTTGTGTTTTCATTTTCATTTGTTTTCATGAATTTTTAAAATTCTTTAATTTCCTGGTTGACCCATTCATTCTTTAGTAGGATGCTCTTTAGCCTCCATGTATTTGAGTTCTTTCTGACTTTCTTCTTGTGATTGAGTTCTAGTTTCAAAGCCTTGTGGTCTGAAAATATGCAGGGAATGATCCCAGTCTTTTGGTACTGGTTGAGACCTTATTTGTGACCTAGGATGTGATCTATTCTGGGGAATGTTCCATGGGCACTAGAGAAGAATGTGTATTCTGTTGCTTTGGGATGGAAAGTTCTGACTATATCTGTGAAGTCCATCTGGTTCAGTGTGTCATTTAAAGCCTTTATTTCCTTGTTGATCTTTTGCTTAGATGATCTGTCCATTTCATTGAGGGAGGTGTTAAAGTCCTCTACTATTACTGTATTATTGTTGATGTGTTTCTTTGGTTTTGTTATTAATTGCCTTATATAATTGGCTGCTCCCATGTTAGGGGCATAGATATTTAAAATTGTTAGATCTTCTTGTTGGATAGACCCTTTCAGTAGGATATAGTGTCCTTCCCATTCTCTTATTATAGTCTTTGGTTTAAAATCTAATTTGTCTGATACAAGGATTGACACTCCAGTTTTCTTTTGATGTCCATTAGCATGGTAAATGGTTTTCTACCCCCTCACTTTCAATCTGGAGGTGTCTTTGGGTCTAAAATGAGTCTCTTGAAGGCAGCATATCGATGGGTCTTGTTTTTTATCCAATCTGATACCCTGTGTTTTTTGATTGGGGAATTTAGCCCATTTACAGTCAGGGTAACTATTGAAAGATATGAATTTAGTGCCATTGTATTGCCTGTAAGGTGACTGTTACTGTATATTGTCTCTATTCCTTTCTGGTCTATGTTACTTTTAGGTTCTCTTTGCTTAGAGGACCCCTTTCAGTATTTCTTGTAGGGCTGGTTTCGTGTTTGCAAATTCTTTTTTGTCCTGGAAGCTTTTTATCTCTCCTTCTATTTTCTTTTCTTTCCTTTTTTTTTTTTTTTTAAAGATTTTATTTATTTATTTGACACAGAGAGACGAGAGAATGAGGGAACACAAGCAGGGGGAGTGGGAGAGGGAGAAGCAAGCTTCTTATGGAGCAGGGAGCCCAATGCGGGGCTCGATCCCAGGACCCCAGGATCATGACCTGAGCCGAAGGCAGACGCTTAATGACTGAGCCACGCCCCTCTCCTTCTATTTTCAATGACAGCCTAGATGGATATGGTATTCTTGGGTGCATATTTTTCTCGTTTAGTGCTCTGAATATATCACGCCAGTCCTTTCTGGCCTGCCAGGTCTCTGTGGATAGGTCTGTTGCCATTCTAATATTTCTACCATTGTTGGTTACAGACCTCTTGTCCGGAGCTGCTTTCAGGATTTTCTCTTTGTCTCCCAGACTTGGAAGTGTTACTATTAGATGTCAGGGTGTTGACCTATTTTTATTGATTTTGAGGTTCTCTTTGCCTCCTGGATTTGATGCCTGTGTCCTTCCTCAAATTAGGGAAGTTCTCTGCTATAATTTGCTCCAATATATCTTCTACCCCCCTCTTTCTTCTTCATCTGGGATCCCAGTTATTCTAATATTGTTTCATCGTATGGTATCACTTATCTCTCGAATTCTGCCCTCGTGATCCAGTAGTTGTTTATCTCTCTTTTTCTCAGCTTCTTTATTCTCCATCATTTTGTATTCTATATCACTAATTCTCTCTTCTGCCTCACTTATCCTAGCAGTTAGAGCCTCCATTTTTGATTGCACCTCATTAATAGCCTTTTTGATTTCGACTTGGTTAGATTTTAGTTCTTTCATTTCTCCAGAAAGGGATTCTCTAGTATCTTCCATGCTTTTTTCAAGCCCAGCTAGTATCTTTAAAATCGTCATTCTGAACTCTAGTTCCGACATCTTACTAACGGCTGTATTGATTAGGTCCTTGGCGGTTGGTACTACCTCTTGTTCTTTTTTTTTTCAGGTGATTTTTTATGTCTTGTCATTTTGTCCAGAGGAGAATAGATGAATGAGAGAACAAAATGCTAACAGGGTAAACAACGACCCCAGAAAAATATACACTAAACAAAGCAGAAGAGACCCGAAACCCGGGGGAAAAGAAAGGGAAAAAAAGAAAGAAAAAAAGAATATGATCAGGCCACACACTTGATTTTGGGCATATTTCGGTCTGTTAGAAGAAACTGCCTCCCAAAATTTTAAAGAAAGAAAAATATATGTACAAAAATAAGGGTAAATACGATGAAGGGATGGAATGTGACTGTAAAGATGAAAATTGTAAAAGATTTTTAAAAAGGGATTGAGAAGATGGTTGAAAAAGGGAAAAAAAATTCAAAAAAATAGAAAAAGAAAAAACAAATTTTAAAAATTAACTTTGAAAGACTAAAGAATCATGGGGAAAAAAGCCATGAATTCTGTCTGTTGTATTTCCCTAGTGCTGGCGTTCTGCCGTTCTCATTGATAGGTAAACTTGGTCTTGGCTGGCTGTTCTTGCTCATCTTCTGGGGGAGGGGCCTGTTGCCGTGGTTCCCAAATGTCTTTGCCGCAGGCGGAATTGCCCCACCCTTGCCAGGTCTGGGCTAAGTAATCTGCTCGGGTTTGCTCTTCAGAGCTTTTGTTCCCTGCAAGCTTTCCGTGCAGCTTTGGAGGATGAGAGTGAAAATTTCATAGTGGCTTCCCAATCACCGCCCTGGAGGAGCCTGAGAACTCGGGGCCCCACTCCTCACTGCGTCCCCAGAGAAAAGCGGTCAGTCACTCCCATCTCCCTGATCTCTGGCCATGCTCCCTGCTCACCCGGCCTGTAACCGGGCGTTTCTATCTCTGGCACCCGACCCCGTGTGGAGTCTCCAAACCCAGCAGATCCCTGCGGTGCGCTCCTGTGCCGCTCCTCCCCGGGGGAGGAAGGGGAGTCTCCCCGGATCTGCCGTTTGTTGGGTCCCTGTTGGAAAAGCCGTGGCCTGACTGTGCCGCGGATCACGGTTTATGGCAACCCCGAGCTGAGAGCCCGCGCCTCGGCTCCGTCTCTGCAGCCGGCTTCCCCGCTCCCTTGCCTGGGAGGCCTGCCGCACTCAGGCACCCCTGGTCTTTCTGTGACTCCGAGGGTCTTGAGACCACACTGTCCCAGAGAGGGTTCCACCCGCCGCTTAGCCACTGGAGCAATGTCCCTCAGCAAAACAGACTTCTAAAAGTTCTGATTTTGTGCTCCGCGGCTCTAGCACTTGCCAGAAGCGGCAGACGGAGGTCCCCTCCCCCGCCGTCTATCCTCCCGCATATCGCCTCGGATTCACTTCTCCGCACGTCCTACCTTCCAGAAAGTGGTCGCTTTTCTGTTCAGAGACTTGCTGCTATTCTTTTCTTCGATCTCCTGTTGAGTTCGTAGGTGTTCAGAATTGTTTGATCCCTATCCAGCTGAATTCCTGGGACCAGATGAAAGCCAGGTCTCCTACTCCTCCGTTATTTTGCTCCTCCCCGCCTCCCCCCGTGTTTTTACTTTCTTGATACACCCTTTGCACAAAGTTTTTAATTTTGATGAAGTCCAGTTTATATTTTCTTTTGTTGTTTGTGCTTTTGGTGTCATATGTGAGAAACCATTGCCAAATCCTAGGTTATCCTGTTTTTTTCTAAGAGTTTTAAATGGATTCTTTTTTTTTTTTTTTGCTGCATAATATTTTATGGTATATCACATAATTTTGAGTGTTCTCTTACGTAAAATGTATCAACATCTATTAGATTTTAATTTATAGAACACTGGCTAAATGTCTCTGTATAGTTATTTATTCAGCCCTTTTGGTCTTCCTTTTACTAGCTTAGCTCTTGTCATGCAGTACTTTCAACGCAGCTTGCTGATGCCATGATGTTTCCCATTACCCAGTTTAAAGAAAGAGATCTAAAAGGTAATGAAGTCAAGTTTATGTTTACTTCCATTAGCCATCAGATCAGTACTTGTAAAGTGCATGTTGCTATATACCTTAACCATTTCTGACTGCAGCTTATACCAGTTTAATGTGTCACTGGATATTTATAGGAGCTCCTGCTAGATGTTAAACTAGATACAGAAGAATACTGATATGAATACAGTGTCACTTCCCTCGAAAAAGCCTAGAGAAGGAGATGGGTAAAATAAGTAATTATTGATATTCTCTTATAATTGGGGAATGAGCAAGGTACTATGGGGGCTCAGAGGAGGGTGTCGGAAAGGTGTCACCAAGGATGTGACATGAACATTGAACAATGAAGAGGCATTTTTGCCAGGAGAAGAGAGTCATTGTTCTGTTAGAGGGACTAGAAAGCACAAAGGTATGGGTTATAGAAATACATGTCTTGTTTTGTGGTTGATGAGAAACTCTGTGTGGCTGCAATGTTGGATGTGTTGGGTGTGACAGGAGACCAATCTGGAAATAGATCATGCTAAAGATGTTGGACTTGAGCTTTCTAAACAAAATTTTAGATATTTCATAAATATGCTAAATTGAAACTTCTTGAACTTTTCCAGAAATATTGACATTAAAGGAAGTGTTTCAGATTGCTAGTAATGGTAAGTTCTGAATACTTTACACAGTTATTTCTCACAGTGATGCATTTCTTTATCAACACAAATCTGGCCATATTCTATGTAATAATTGAAAAAAAGTGAACCTAAGTAAAAGTGTAAGTGAACATTATGTAAATCAGTGCTATTTTTAAGTTGCACTATTTGTGCTATAAGAAAAATTTAAAAGAAAACCAAATCTTGTGGTTTGCTATCTTAGTAATACCAGAGGAGTTGATATAATATTTTCCCTTCCTTGTTTTCGTATATATTCTAAAATTTTCTTTAATGAGCATTTGCTGTTTTTGTACTAAAAAATACTTTTAGGGGCACCTGGGTGGCTCAGTCGGTTAAGCATCTGCCTTCGGCTCAGGTCATGATCCCAGGGTCCTGGGATCGAGCCCCGCATTGGGCTCCCTGCTCAGTGGGGAGCCTGCTTCTCTCTATCCCTCTGTAGCTCCCCCTGCTTGTGTTCTCTTGCTCTCTATCAAATAAATAATAAAATTATATCTTAAAAAAAATACTTTAAAAAACTTTTAGTGGAATACAGTCTCCTTAGAATTAATTTTTTTTTTTAGGCAATGTAATAAGTAGAAAGATACTTCATGGCAAATTTGACTGTGGGACCATTTGGGTGGAGTGAACTATGTGTTAATTCTTATTTTGAGAATTCTTGCTTTAGCATATTTGTTGAAAGATGCACATGTGAAGACTATTTAAAGCATTTATAAGTTGGGTAAGGTACTGTTATATTATTGTTAATAGTTATTTCTGTTTTCCAGATCATGATGCTGCAATTAACAGATATAGCCGGTTGTCTAAAAAAAGAGAAAATGACAAGGTGTGATACATACTTGCTCCATTAGTATCACAATTAACAATTGTTTCATTAGATTTTTTTTTTCACTAGTTTTTTCCTGTTTAAAAACAGTAGGCTGCCAGTTACTTTGTATGTTTTGCTACATTGCCCTTAGTTTATTCTTCCCTTCTAGTTGTTTCAAAGCCTTTCTTAAAATTATCAGACAGTTAATAATTGTCTCTTTGAACAAACTGTTTTTCTGCTGACAAAATTTGATAAGTAAACAGAACTATTCCAAAAGTGTAATTGATGCCCAGTATATAACATTGCCTCCTTTTGCTTTGTGTTTTGATAACATTGTGTGTGTTCTGGTTTTATTTGACCATGTATGTATTCAGAAGTGTCTCCTGAGATAAAGTAGTTAAAAAGTTGAATTGTTGCATACATAATTGAATGAAATTCTGTTATGAGGCCCTCCTTATTTACAGGGAATATATATATATATATAGTTTTTGATACTTCTCCAAATCCAGAAATATTTCACTGTATTTTGGGAGAAATGCATTTGAGTAAAGAACAAAGAACAAAATATTATTAACAAGTTCATCTAGGTGCTCCTTAAGCTCATTTTTTCCTTAGTGCCTAATCCAGGATTTGATGACAAGACGTCCACTAAATGTTAGCGAGTGAGGTGGTCTGTGTTGTTGTCTGCAGCCTTGGCCACAGCTGCTGGTAGGGGCACTGTGATCACTTGGGGGAATCCAGGACTGGGGACGATTTACTGTGCAACAGCTACTGTGACCCAGTAAAGGGACTACCTTAACCATTTCTGACTGCAGTTTTCACAAAGTTCAGTACAAAGAGCTTTCCATTTCTTTATTTTATTTTATTTTTTTAAAGATTTTATTCATTTATTTGACAGAGCACAAGCAAGGGAGGGGTAGAGGAAGAGGGAGAAGCAGGCTACCTGCTGACCAGGGAGCCCTATGTGGGGCTCGATCCCAGGACCCTGGGATCATGACCTGAGCCGAAGGCAGATGCTTAATGACTGAGCCACCCAGGCACCCCGAGCTTTCCATTTCTAATTTTAGTTCACTAATTACTTGATGGTGCAAATATTAATAAAAAACATACATTTTGAGATCTACATTACTTCTTTACTTTGCCTTAGAGAAATAGTTAAAGGGTCTAGCTATGAATTTCGTTGTATTTTACATTGCTTCTGGCTATTCCAGTTCCATTATTTTTATTCCAGGTAGTTTAAAAAACATTATTTTACCAATTTTATTTGAAAAAATTTTGAGCATCTGCTGTATGTTGGGTATCATGGGGTCATAGTGTGAATAGGCTCCACTTCTAGCCTCAGGGAGTGAATAATATGTACTTAATCGAAGGCTTCCTGTGTCAAGGCTGGAGTAGATACCAGCGTACAAGGATGAAGGGAAACCGTGAATTAACACTGAGTTAATACAATTAATAGCAGTCTTAACAAAATGTTGGGAGAGCACAAGCAAAGCAGCAGTTAACTTTGGTAAATTGGGAAAGGCTATACTTTTAGGAGGTGCTATTTGCTTGATTGAAGATGAGTGAACACCACTGGTTTGGGATTGGGGAGAGGGCATTCCTGGAAGAAAAACAGTCTTTGCAGAAGCACATGGTAGACACTGGAGAATGTAGAGCTTAAGAGCACTGGCTCTGGAGTCACACTGCTGGAGGACAAATCTCAGTTTTGCCACTTATTTGCCTGAGGTCACACCCTGGTCACTTAATTTCAAGCCTTTATTTTTCTATCAAAACAACTGAGTAGTTGTGATGATGAAATGGGATAATACATGCAGGGTACCTGGCTTGTAGCAAGATTTTAAATTCTAGCAATAATTATGATAATGGCATGTGTCTGGAACATAGGATATCTTTGGGGAGGTATGGCAGAGATACAAGAAAGTAGTTTGAAAGTAGTATGTCAGTGACTTTGAAATTTGATTTAGAGGGAGTGGGCAGCCGGCTTAAAGGAATCCTACTTAAAGGATTGTAAGTGGAAAACACCATGCAATTGTGTTACACAATACAAATACTAATGGAAATGTGAAGGGGACAGAACTAGAGAGAATCCAATTGAAAAGGTACCAGAATAGTTTGCAAAGACATTAGGAGAGCCTCAGATAGTTGTTGAAAGTGGAGAGGAAGGAATACCTTTGGAAGATATTTTGTAAGTAGAATTGACATGACATAGTAGGAGGAGGAAACAAAAAGGAATCCTGTGATTCTTGGATGATGGGGTAGATCTTGAAATAATTAAGAGAGCTAAGAAACAGGGGCATCTAGATGGCTCAGTTGGTTAAGCATCTGCCTTCAGCTCAGGTCATGATCTGGGGGTCCTGGGTATGGGCCCCGTATTAGGCTCCTTGCCCAGCGGGGAATCTGCTTCTCCTTCTCCCTCTGCCCCTCCCCACTGCTCACTCTTCTCTCGCTCTCACTCTCAAATAAATAAAAAAATCTTAAAAAAGAAAAACTAAGAAACGGACAGGCTTTGCAGGGAAGATACTGTATTCAGTTTTGTACATGTCCAGCACATTTACACACTCGTGTGCACACACACACACAAGCCCAGCTGGAGATGTGCTTCCTCTGACACTTAGGAGAGTGAAGGGTGAGGGGTGTCTGGGTGGCTCAATTGGTGGGGCGTCTGCCTTCAGCTCAGCTCATGATCCCAGGATCCTGGGACCGAGCCCTGGGTTGGGTTCCCTGCTCAGTGGGGAGTCTGCTTCTCCTTCTCCCTGCTCATGCTTTCTCTCTTGTTCTCTCTCTCTCTCTCTCAAATAAATTTTTAAAAAAGTGAAGGGTGAGAGATAAAAATTTGGGAATCGTTGGTGTATTAGAATATTCTTAGTACTTGATTTGGTATTCTAAGGAAAGCAAGAAGAGAGAAGAGCCTAATGCGTATTACATAATAAATGCTCTTTAAATATTTGTTGTCTGAATACAAGAACTTAAAGGAGCACATGTATCTTAAGTGTGGGTGAAGGAAAACAAGTACAGGAGAGGAGCAGCAGGAGAGAACCAGAAGAGGAGAAGTATGCTGTGAATTGGGCAAGATCAAAGACTGATGACTAAGCTAATACCAAACTCCTGTCTGCCTTTCCTCTGTGTGGTAGACTCTGCCACACGTAGTTCAGTTATTGTATCATTCTTAGTTATGTGTAGAATTCTGCTTTAAATGTGCATCTTAACATGGAGTGGTTGGTATTTTATAGGATTTCTACTATCTCAGAAAATAAAGATGCACAACTGCTGGTGATATACCTTTTTCCTTGGGTAGGCTCTTCCCTATAGCCACTACTAAAGATAATTAAAGATAATTACATAATTAAATAAGTAATAGTATTTTTAATGTTTATACTCAAAAGGTAAAGTATGAAGTCACAGAAGATGTCTACACTTCCAGAAAAAAACAACACCAGACCATGATGCATTATTTTTGTGCATTAAATACTCTTCAATACAAAAAGAAAATAGCATTGTTAGAACCTCTACTCGGGTACATGCAAGCTCAGGTAAATACTGTATTGTGTTTTGGATTATAAGTGTCCTAAAAACTTTCTATTAAGTTTGATATTTATGTTAAGTATAAGGGTATTACAAACTAAGGTCAAAATACTCTATTTGGGATTTGTGTTTTCAAAAGTAATTTTAAATGTCCTCAGAATGCTATTTTGAGGAAGTTAGAATGGTCTTCCTTGCAAATGAAGATTTCACATACTTTTTAGGGTTAATGAAACCACTTACCTGGTATTTAGGCCTTGTCCATCACAGGGGGACAGGGAACAGAAAGCTAAATGAATTCTGGAGTTACTCCTACTGATGGAACTTTCATTCACTCTGGCTTTGGAATAGATTTGAAAGAGAATGGGCAAGTTTGAGTTTGTCTCCTGTTCCTTGCATACCTCCTGAATTAATAGATGAACTCCAAAGTGTCCCAAGAGGTTTGCATCAGGAAGAGGCTAGAAAAGTAAATTTGGGTAATATGACATGGCACACCCCTAAAAATTAAGGGTTTAAAGAAATTCAAATATTCCTTCAAATATGAGTGCTTATTATTCCTCAATATAAAATTTATCTTTGTAAAACAAAGTAGTTTATATAACTTATTTAAAATGTTTCAACATTTTCCAATTTTATAAATTGCTTACAGAGATGTATGGTGAAATTGAAGTCTGGTTTCTACAGTGGCTCTAAGCCCAGTAGAAGTCATTGTAAACTAGTACACAAATGGGAATACTCCTTTGTTCTTTACCATGTATCTTGGAGATTGTTTATATGATTCACTGTGTTTCTTGTAAATGTGTGTTTCTGTTGTTCATCCTCCCACTCACACACCCTCTTGCCCCAGATAAGTTTCTTTAAGATGGGTTCTGAAAATCTCAATGACCAGCTGGAAGAATTCTTGACTAATATTGGAACAAGTGTACAGAAGTAAGTACTTTCTTCCTTAAAATTGAAAATGAAGTTATGAGAATAAGTAAACAGCTAAGTGCCATAATCTAAAAATATTTAGCATTGAATTTCCTGAGGGGCTGTTTTCCTTGCCCATGAGACTATGTCTCATGTGGCTCATGGATTCTTCTTGGGTTTTTCACCATCTTTTCCATGGAATCTGAACTCTGAATTTCATAGCTCTGTCAAGTCTGAGGGTATTTTATTCTAAACTATGTTTTATAAAAGTCTGTATATAACAGACACATAATAGTAATTATCCATAAGTTCATTATCTTCACAATTATCTGAATTGTGGGGGATGGTTGGGAGTTACTAAATAAATCTTGCTTTCTAAGCCATGAAAGCGTAAAGAGAGCAAGCAGTTCTGAGCAGGTTCAAAATTCTGAGCAGTGATGTGGTCAATCTGAGATATGCGGGACAGTTTGAAAATTATTCCAACATTAGGCATTCAGTGTGGCTTCATTTGTTTTTTAACTTGTATTGTTTCTAGAGTATCTAGTTTCATATAAAATGTAAAGCTTTTTCATCATGCGTTCATGTTACTTTAACCACCCATGCTACTCTTGCTCTCTTTAAGAAAAAATATGCAAAGCAAATATATAGCTAAATATGATTGGTAAGGAGTCCTCTGTTGTGGTTGGAGGTAAATAATGTTTTCTGTGTTAGCGTTCGTAGGGAAATGGACAATGATGTAGAGACCATGCAGCAGACAATAGAAGATTTGGAGGTAGCCAGTGACCCCTTATATGTGCCTGACCCAGATCCCACGAAATTTCCTGTTAATCGAAACTTAACCCGGAAGGCTGGATACCTTAATGCTAGGAAGTAAGAAAACTATAGTTATTTTATTTCTTTTTTTTGTTTTTTATTTTTTATAAAGATTTTATTTATTTATTTGTCAGAGAGGGCACAAGCAGGGGGAGCGGCAGGCAGAGGAAGAAGCAGGCTCCCTGCCGAGCAACGAGCCCGATGTGGGACTCGATCCCAGGACCCTGGGATCATGACCTGGGCTGAAGGCAGACGCTTAATCAACTGAGCCACCCAGGCGTCCCTATAGTTATTTTCATATGTTGTATATCATCTAAGGTAGTATGAAGTGAATATATGATTGATATTGTCTGATAAATTATTTTGTTTTACTAAAGGTTGAATCTTATTAGTTAGCGGTATTTGTGTTTTTGTCAGCTTTTTGCCAGGTGGAGTACATGAATAATTTTCATAAGTAAAATTCTGTTTAGATATTTATTGAATAATTTAGAATTATTTTAAAAGTGAAATGAATTTGAATTTAAATAAATCTAGCATTACATGAATGCTATTAAATATCATTTTTATTATACATTTAAAATGTATGTAATTACACCATGAGGTCAACGTACAGTTTTTATTTAAAGATAGGATAAAGCAAGTTAACCTTAGAAGTAAGATGAATTCTTTTCTTTTGAATTTATTCTCCTGAAGGTTGAACTATAATTTATGGAACATTCTAACAGTTGCAATTTGATAACTTCCAGCTTTTTTTTTTTTTGAAATACACACAAAAGTGGCTCAACATACATGAATTTATTTTAGAGACTGAAAAACTGATATATTTTCTAGGCACCTTTGTGCCTTTTTGCAAGCTGGTTCTTTGTCATGTGCTTTATCTTGTGTTTGGCTATGATGAGATTTCAGGTGTGTTGTTACTGAAGAGTGAATGTACTTTCTTCATTTAGTAAAACAGGCTTGGTGTCATCTACCTGGGACAGACAGTTTTACTTCACGCAGGGTGGAAACTTAATGAGTCAGGCGCGTGGGGATGTGGCAGGTGGCCTGGCCATGGACATTGACAACTGCTCAGTAATGGCTGTGGACTGTGAAGACAGGCGATACTGTTTTCAGATCACTTCCTTTGACGGAAAAAAGTTAGTATTTTTTCCTACTATTAATAAAATCTGCATATTTTAAGTTACTGAAATGCACAATAATTCCTTCTCATTCAGACATTGTATAGCTACTTTAGGCTTATTATGTATTAAGATAATTTTCTTTTTTAATCACGTAGAAATGAGTTGAATTTTCCTTTCTGACTTGGTAAAATGATGTCTTAATATTTTGAGGTTGTTAAATAAGGGCATATGATAGATAAAAACCTGTGATTTCATGTTAGGGTACTGTTCACTGAAAATTATGCACCGTGTGGGGGAAGGCAGCACAAGTTAGTGGAAAGAGCCCTAACCCTGGGGTCAGAAAGTTCAAATTCAGGATCTACTACTTAGTGTGTGGTCTTAGACAAGTTACATAACCTCTGTTTTTTCACATGTGAAATGGAGTGTGTGGGGGTTATAATCCCTATATGGAAGAGAAATCTAACATATGTAATGTGCCTAACATGTAGTAAGTGCAAACACTAATGTTATTTTTAAATGTTAAATATTTCTGGTTAAATTAATGATTTAGTCCATTAATGTGTATATGCCATTTTTAAGACTTCTATTACCTTTGCATTAAATGAGAATCCATAGAGTAGCCTTTAGAACAAATTTTTGGAAAATACAGAAAAATATAGAAAAGGAGTATTGAACATTGAAAGAAAGCTATAATCTCACTAACTAGAAGCAACAATTAACTTTCTGGTCTGTTGCCTTACAGTTTTTATTCTAACTACATTTTTAAAAAATATTTGAGGAAATACTGTAGATACACTTTGGATCTGCAGCTACTTATTAAAAACATTTCACAATGGCCACATTATAATCCATCGAAGGATATATACCATAATCTAAAATTTTTCCTAATGATAGATGTTTAAGTTAGCTGCAGTTTTTTTCCTACTTAAAATACTGTTTTTGATCTTTCTTAATGTTCTGAAGCAACATGTTAAGGTGTTATGGTTCATGGTCTTTTTATCAGTTGTTTGATTTCATTTATCATGCTGGATGTTGGGAGTCCCTGTGTTTACCAAATTGTTAATATGTTAGTACAGGAATTTACATTTTTTTCAGTTCTATTGCTAATGCTTAACATGATTTCCCATTTCACATTCCTAGTGTGATTCACAATTAGTAATTTTTCTCTGATTCTTAAAATAACATCTATAGAAAAGGTAAGTATCCCAGTGTTAGTGATTGGTATATTGAAAAATTTTATTTGACTGTATTTATGGAGAAATAATGAGTACAATTAGTGTTTTCTGTTAGGATCGCTGATTTACATTTGAAATATATATGGTAAGTGTCAGAAAGTTGAAATACGTTGTCTTATTTGCAGTGTACCTTTGTTACAGGCTGTCTTCTGAAAACCAGCACCTGTTTCTTTTTTGGTACGTCTTGGCATGGATAGCCAGAGTCAAGAGTTGTTAAAATCTGAGTCCAGATGCCCCAGGTGGTCTCCTTTTCCTGACTAAGATACTGACTGGTTGTGTGTTTTGGGTTTTTTTAGTTTTGATACCGATTGGTTTTATATGTACTTTTAAAGTTAAAAAATTTTCTCAGATTTTTAAATTGAGGGTCAAACTTCTTTTTTATTTTTCAGATCTTCAATTTTGCAAGCAGAAAGTAAAAAAGACCATGAGGAGGTAAAATTTTATCTAAATTTTTTCCGCAACATCTTAAGATATTTCAGTAACTATTAAGATAGAAATGTGGAAAATCCTAGTTAATTAAAAAAAATTTTTTTTCATAAAAATCTGTTGTCCTCAAGCAACATCAAGTTTCACAGAGACTTTTATAGCTAAACCTGTAAGAGGAGACTTTAGAGATCATTGGTGTCTGTCTTTTTAAAGGCTCAACCTCAGAAATGACCTTGTGACTGTTGCTTTCTGGCAAGCTTTTAGTATCATGAGGTGACAGTTTTATTCCCTTCTCTCACCAACTTTCTGAGACGGTATTTGCTGTATTAAGGACATAGTGGCAGCTGATATAGCATGGCAGGAAGCAGGTAAAACTTAAAACCTTGGAGAAATGAAAGACAGAAAAACAAAAATTTGGGAGAGTCTGTTCTTCCTCACGAGTCTCTTATTTTTGGCTCCATTTTTACTTCTAGTACACCAAATATGGAAGGTAAGTTACCACCAAGAACTGATGCTTCAGAAACTTGGTCCTGAGAAATATTCTTCAATGAAAATATACTGTAGTTGATTTTGAGCCACTTTATCTGGTATTATAAATGTGTTGGTAAAAGACAAGGTTAGAAATTACATAGAGATTTATTTTTATTTACCTCTTGTGGAAAGGAGTAGGTAGTAAAACTTGTTTTACTGTGTGAGGAACACAAATAAATGTCTGCTCTCTGCTGGATTTACCAAACAGATTATTAGTTTAATGAGGCTCATCATGGACTGGAGTCCTCAAATGTGAAGTAGAAAATGTGGAAGAGAGCATTTTTTATGTTAATTAGCTATAAATCTGAAAGAAGGGAAGTATGTAAAATGCATTCACTGGGAATATATTTAGCTCTTAACTTTTTCTTTATTGGTGTTAATCATGATATCTGAGTCCAGGCTATCTTATTTGGTGGGGATTAAAAGGGGGGAGTGATATAAAAGACAAATATAGACTATTAAATATAACTGAACATTATTGGTATATTTTTATTTGCTTTTATGAAGCTAATTTGGGCTTTTTTTTTTTAAGACTATTTATTAGAGAGAGAGCACTAGTGGAGGGGAGGGGCAGAGGGAGAGGGAGACCCAAGACTTCCCACTGAGCAGGGAGCCTTCCTTGGGGCTCGATCCCAGGACCAGACCCTGAGATCATGACCTGAACCGAAGTCAGACACCTGACCGAATGAGCCACCCAGGCACCCCAATTATGTGTTACTTCTAATGAAACTTCTATGCAGTGAAATACTGAAGATTCTTTTAGAAGAGAAGCACTATAGGAAAAAAAATATTAATCACATTTTTCTATTTTTTTCTCTTGCAGTGGATCTGTACAATAAATAACATATCCAAACAAATATATTTAAGTGAAAATCCGGAGGTAAAATTTTTATTTTATGGTATCCAGACCTGGCAAAAATGAATAATTATTAATTTATTATTTATGTCATAATTCCTCAAGCCCTGAAATCTTTTAATTTGCCCTTGAATGAGTAGCTTTAATGTATCCATGTATGAGCATTTGGTCTTCCTAGAAAGATAAATTATTTCAGAAGTAACTGAAATTGGTCAGCTGACAAATTTTTACTGGGCATCAGTGCTGTGTTTAGCTTTGGGTTGAGCACCATGGAGAAGAATACAAAAGAAAAAGAAGCCATGGCTTTGCCCTCCAGGAGCCTTTGTGTATGGAAATACAACACTAAAACTTTTACATTGTGTATAAACTATGTAACAAAGTGTACGGTAATGACTAAAAGCTTAAGATTTGAGAATGTTAAGATCATTGTGGACTTTAGTTTTAGAGAAAATTGTGGAGATGGTAGAATCCTGAGCTGGCTAAGATTTGTTCATGTTTTGAGGAAAAGAGAAGAAATTGCAGATAGAATAAAAACAAAAGCATAAAGGTAGAAATGGTGTGTTTATGAAACCAGTGGTATAATTGGAGTTGAAGGTTCTTGTTAGAGAAAAATAGCTGAAATGTACATACAAATCACCTGGGGATCTTGTTAAAATGCAGATTATGTCTAGGGTGAGGTGGCCTGAACTCTAAGTTTTGTCAGTTAGGCTTTGAGTAGCAAGGGTATCAAACCAGATGAATTTAGGTGTACAGGTGAGTCCAAATATACACGCAGAACCCAGCGGTGCAGAGAACTCTGGAAGGAATCAAGTGGATCCACAGTGCAGTGTAGTTGGGAAAAGACTTTGGTTTAGGGCAGGAGCTATGTGACCCCTGCCAGTCTCAGTGGGCCGATCTGTGCAGTAAACCTGGCCACCTCTCAGGGCTGTGCGGGGCTGATGATTTCAGTTGAGGCAGAGCAGGGCTGATTTCTCTAGGAAGCCCTCACCCTTCTAAGTCTTAAAACTGTTGTTGGTATAATGGTTGATTAGACAGGGGCATCTCGGAACATGTAGAAGGCCATTATCCTAGTTCAGGCATGAACTGAGGGTCTGAACGGGGTGGTAACCAAGAGAAGAGAGAAGAAATAATGCGTTGTATAAAGAGGTAAAAAGAAATCGACTGGACTAGTTAGTAACTGACCAATGTAAAGGATGAAGGAGATGAATTAAAGATGACTTTCAGGTTTTAAGCTCAAGTGAATGGAAGAACAATTTGAAAGAGTTGTTTTTATCATAATGGCTTTGAGGTACCAGCCAAGACACATAGGATTTAGATGCCTAGGAACAAGTTTTGAACCAAAGAAACAATACTTCATGACCTCCAAAATATTAGTAACTTCTGTTTTGTAATAATCTTATGAGTGTAATCTAAGAAAATCAGTGCTAACTGTAGAGGAACCTTTTGCTTGCAGTAATTTGATCTCTTGCCAGGTTAGCTTTTCCTTTCTGTTATGTTACTTGGGAGCACCAAAAAATTAAAATGGAAGTTGGATGACCTGTTAATACCTAGGGAATACATGGTGAATACAGTGTTTGGATTTGAATAATTGAGGGTTATCTTACTTTTCCCCACAAATTATCAGAACTCTAAATTTTAAGTAGTATTTTCCAGATTATCCAGAATTACTTTTTCTGTACTTAATGAGAGAAGGAATTCTGATCAGTTTGTGGCATTGTCTTGACATTTTTGCTAACTATAAAACACAGAAATGCAAAAATGTTATGATTTTTTTTCTAATGTAAATACTATTTTATGTAGCTAGCCAGTGTTTGAAATAAGTTTAAAAATACTTCTTATAGGAAGCTTTTCTTTCAGATTTAGGCCAGAAAATATCCATATAACTTCATTAATAAATACATAGATGTTTCTGAGCATAAATATATTCTGGAAGATCATGAAAACTTCAGCAGTATAGTTATAAAACATTTTTGATATTTTGGCTATTCCTACTTCTCCTAAATTTAATTTAGCAAATGTATTGAGTACCTATATAGTAGGTGCTGTATTAGGTGCTAATCAAAAAATCTGGTAGTTAAATATTTAAAGATCTACGTCTGTAAGAAGTAAGAGGAAGCTTAAGTTATAATGTTATGAAGTGCATTATGTATCTTAATGTTAAGACAATGTGGAACTACTTTAGTAACTCCAGTTTGCATTTTAAATGTAACTCAAGAACATTCTGACAGTTGTATCCAAACTTTTGGTTTCCTTGCTTTACTAATTCTAGTCCTTTTTAATAAAACAAAATAGGAAATTGCTGCACGAGTAAATCAGTCCGCTTTGGAGGCTGTCACTCCTTCCCCGTCTTTCCAGCAGAGGCACGAGAGTCTGCGGCCGGCAGCGTGAGTTACCAGACTTTGGGTTATTTAAAAGTATATGGGTTATTGAAAGTGTTAGCGAACACTTTGATTTTAGCAGTGCTACTTACATTAGTATGAAATAGTTTCTCCAAAACATAGAAAGGATTTTCAAGTCGGTAAATTTACCGGCAAGAGTACTAAATAAGTAACAATTCCAGATTGCCCTGGTGCTTTATCTATAGATTGAGATCATTTGTTTTTGAATTTAGTCATTGGCAAGAAAAGTCTGTTATTGAAATTTCTTCTACTCTCTTTGAGTTATAAAACTGTATTTTCTTTCTCATAGTTTGTATTCAGTTTCAAAAAGAGAAAACTAAATGCAGTGCCTCTGGTTTTCTTCTGTGTTTAGACAATCTCGGCCACCGACAGCTCGAACTAGCAGCTCGGGATCCTTAGGATCTGAGTCCACAAATTTGGCTGCCCTTTCTCTAGATTCTCTCGTTGCTCCAGATACTCCAATACAGTTTGACATCATTTCTCCTGTGTGTGAAGATCAGCCTGGCCAGGCAAAAGCCTTTGGCCAGGGAGGCAGGTGGGCGATGGCATCACAGGGATATTGTTCTGTGGTCTATAAGGCTTATGATTCCATTTTTTGCAGTTGAGAGTCCTCTCTCACATACGTGTATCAATTATGTTGTACTTTCTTTAATTACCTAATTTTGATAGTCGGGAAAGAGTCGTGCAGGTTTTTCTCTTTGTTTTCTGCCTCAGTTAAACAAGTGAAGATAATTTAGTTCTAAAAATATTTAATTTTGAATTGCTTATCAGATCTACTTCTGGTATTTGCTCTTAAAATTGCAGAAGAAAGTTGATAGTCCTATCTTTAGGTCATGACAATATTTTAGAAATTGAGAGTAATACATGTGTTGTAGGTTTGTAAGAAAAATACCATCTTGGGGCGCCTGGTTAAGCTGTTAAGCGTCTGCCTTTGGCTCAGGTCATGATCCCAGGGTCCTGGGATCCAGCCCTGCATCGGGCTCCCTGCTCAGCGGGAAGCCTGCTTCTCCCTCTCACACTCCCCTTGCTTGTGTTCCCTCTCTCGCTGTCTCTGTCTCAAATAAATTAAATAAAATCTTTAAAAAAAAAAAAAAATATCATCATGGGTCAGAATACGAAATCTCCAGGAAGGTACTAAAACATTATCATGCTATGAGTTATTAATAAATCATCTTTTGGTTATATACAAGAAATGTGAAAGCTGTTAGAATTTTTCTTTGGCTCTGGGATGAAGGAAAATGTCACGGCAAATCATTATTTAAGTAGGTTGGACGCCTAATAAATTGATACTAATTTGGATATACATGGTTGTGACCAAGAAATAATAATTTGTATTTGATCACAGAAATATACTTAGCATTTGATATAGTAGTTCAGACATGAATTAGATCAATTTCATGTTATCTTAATGCCAACATTATTTTAAAACCATTTAGCTCTCTTTTAGCCTACAAAACCTATTTTGAATTGTATTTTTTTTCCTTCATTGTGGGTATGCCAAGAGCCACTCACACTGAAGAGGGAGGTAGCTCCCATCACTAATTAGCTTTTCTTCTTGCATTCTGTTACGTATGCCTTGAGAAATACAGGTTTAAAACTAGAAAATGTTCAAATTAGCACAATTAACTTGCAGTATGTACTTGGAGGACCTAAAAAGAGGTTTTTGCAATCCTAGGAAATCCCTGGCATTTTTCTCAAGTAGCTAAAATTGAAGCCAAATCAGCTGTTCTGTCCCTCTTTATTTAAATTCAAGGACTTCTGCAATGTGGTTTATAGGATGTTGGGGGTTGTATGTGTGTGTGTATGTATGTATGTCTGCATTTCAGTTCATCCACCACTTCTAGAATGCAGCAGCATTGAGTTCAGCCTACTAAGTGTGAAGGCAGGGGCCTTCATCAGAGTAAGGTGGTCATCAGTAGTGTTCCTTAACAGGATGGGGCATTTTAGAGCTTTTTAAAAATGTATGTACAAGTTTTCGTGATGCTTAGTTTTTAACTCCAGTTTCAATGATTGAGATTTCTTCCATATGGCTCATGGTAACTGACCATTGGTTCCTAACTTTTTAAAAACTTTTCAGGCGCACAAATCCATTTGGAGAATCTGGAGGAGGTACAAAATCTGAAACTGAAGGTAAAACAGATGTGCAGTATTATATTTTAAAAATTCTCAGCAGTAAACTGTGTGAAGAATTTGTTTATATTTGTTCTGATGTATGTATTCTGATGTATGTTGTTTATATTTATTCTGATTTGTTTATATTCTGATGTATGTATTCTGATTATGTTTACATCTGATGTAAACAACAAATATGTTGTTTATATTTATTCTGATGTTTACATTTATTCTGATGCATACATCAGAATAAATATAAGCTTCAAACTGTGAAGCTTTACTTCACAGTTTTCTTTTTGCTCATAGTACTCAAAGCAGCAGAACTTAATCAGGCTTAAAGATTTCATTAAAATTATAGAATATCATACTTTGGATGATATTCTCAATGCAAATTCTCAATGCAGAAGATATCCTTTAAGCTTTTCATAGTCAAATTCTCAATGCAGAAGATATCCTTTAAGCTTTTCCTGGGAGCTGATGTTTTCTTCTGGTACGGGAGCATTAACTTTTTTTTCTTTTTTCAGTAACTATTTATTTTGATGAATTTCAAACTTAAAAGCTATAAGAATAGTACAAGGAATTTTTTTTTTTTTTTTACTCAGAACCATCAGTTGTTGAAGCCTAACCTTTTGCTATTTGAATTAGAGACCTTAATTTTCCTATAACTTGAACACTGTAGTTAGGAGTAATTTCTAAATACTTCCACTAGGTTGAATTTTTCACTAGAAAATCTAAAAGGTGACAGTGTATTTTATTCTTAAGGGAAATGTGGGATTTAAAGATATGTGATGTACCTTGTTCTTTTGTAGATTCTATTCTTCATCAGTTATTTATTGTCCGATTCCTTGGTTCTATGGAGGTGAAATCAGATGACAATCCAGATGTTGTTTATGAAACAATGAGGCAAATCTTAGCTGCCCGGGCCATCCATAACATCTTTCGTATGACAGAATCACATTTATTAGTCACTTGTGATTGTTTAAAGTGAGTAATGACCTCCCCCCTTAAAAAACTGTAGGAAAAATGTTTAATTTCAGCCTAATTAAAATTTGTTTTCTAAATTTTTAATTATAGGTTAATTGATCCACAGACACAAGTTACAAGGCTCACAGTGAGTTCTACCTGTTTAAAGCTTTATTGGAAGTCTCTTTGTGCATATACATGTCTATATCGTTATAATAATTCTGATCATATGTATTGAAATACAGTATTAATTATGATTGGCTAAGTTATAATTAAGCCTATGTCCTTCTCCCTTCCCTCCCCAAAATTTGTAATTGAACATTCCATATACTTAAAAGAATCAGTGCAATCTGATATGATATGTAGTTTTTTAGTGTATGATATATGCTGCCTGGTTAAGGGATAAACACTAACAGTCGGAATTAAAAGGTGAACATGATTGAGTTTATTTTATAATTATCTGCGTTGAAATAGCTGGAAGTACATGCTCTTAATCGTTTAACAGTATGGACCATTTTTGTTAGTGAATTTGATTTTGTAAAATGTGTAAATGACTAATAAATTCAGTATTCAACAATGTCTTATTCTGCCTGGTAATCCAAGCCAAATATGACATTTTTGTTCTTGGATTGCCATTCTGTTAAGAAAATTGGCTTTAATGTTCTGTTTATAATATTTTTATAACTTAGTACTTGAATTTGTCATGTAGAAGAGTGCACTTGTGTTTGAAAAATCTCATGTTTGCTTCTGATATTTTCTGTGGCAGTTTCCATTACCCAGTGTAGTTTTGTATGCTACACATCAGGAAAATAAGAGGCTTTTTGGATTTGTTCTTCGGACATCAGGAGGGAGAAGTGAAAGTAATCTGTCATCAGTCTGCTATATATTTGAATCAAACAATGAGGGGGAAAAGGTACATGACTTTTCAAAATGTGTTTCTGTTACAAAATATATATCATAGTCGAAGTTCTTAGTAAGATTTCTGGAAAAAAAACAAATTTGGCTTAATACAACAAAGTTGTTTGACCAGAGCCTGTTGGCTCTGAAGATAGCTGAGCTGGTGGGTGGCTTCGGCCTTCTGACTACAGACCGTGTCTTCCCTGACCATTGGTAGCTGCTGCAATCTTCTGGCCTCATTAACTTACTCTGGGAATGCAGTCTATTCCCATAATCAGCCTTACTCAGCTCTTTTCAGCTTAGAGCAGCATCAGCATCTCCTTGCTTCATTCTTTGCAGATCTTACCCTTTCAGTAAGGAATTTGAGAATGTGACAGAAGTGAGACCCAGCAGCAGAAACTCAAGAGACTCTGAAGAAAATACACAGATGCTTCATTTGGGGGCTGGAACATTCTTTTTTTTTTTTTTTTAAAGAGAGAGCATGAGCAGGGGGGAGGGGTAGGGGGAGAGGGAGAGAATCTTAAGCATTCTCTGCACTGAGTGAAGAGCCCAACATGGGGCTTGATTTCACGACCCTGAGATCATGACCTGAGCTGAAATCAAAAGTCGGACGCTTAACCAAATGAACCAGGTGCCCTGGGGCTGGAACATTCTTAAATCAGCTTTTGTTTGAAGCAGTATATTATAATGAGTTATAAATCTAGTTACATCAGCCATTTGGATACTTGAAATTATTACTTCGATGTGGGAACTGCCTGAGTTTTTCCTACCTTTTCCCCTTTTAGATTTGCGATTCTGTTGGTCTGGCAAAACAGATAGCTTTGCATGCAGAACTGGTAAGAATCCAAAATACTTAATTATCCAAGAATGTTATCTTTTTTTTTTTTTTTTAAGATTTTATTTATTTAGTTAGAGTGCATAGGCAGGGAGAGGGCCAGAGGGCCTGGGAGAGAGAGAATCTCAAGCAGACTATTCGATGAGCGCAGAGTCCTATGCAGGGCTTGATCTCACGACCCTAAGATCATGACCAGAACCAAAATCAACAGTTGGATGCTTAACCGACTGAGCCACCCGAGTGCCCCTCCAAGAATGTTACCTAAAGTAATATAAGATCTTTCATATTAGCAAGGAAATAAAATGATTTTGCTGTGCAAGGTTATCAGTGTATTATTGCTGATACAGCATTTAGAATTTGGATAAGTGACTACGAATGTAAATTTTTAGTGTGTTTTCATATAAATATAAAAAATATGAAAAGGTTACAAAGACTATTAATTGAAAAGTCAAATTTAAAATTATTTCATATTCATTGGTTGTATTCATCTGTTTTTCAGGATCGTCGGGCATCAGAAAAACAAAGAGAAATAGAGAGGGTAAAAGAGAAGCAACAGAAAGAACTCAGCAAACAAAAACAAATTGAAAAGGTATGTAGCCCTAGTATCTACATCTTCTCTGATGTAAGTTTATGAAATTTCCTTAATATAGGACTGTGATTTTCAGATTTGAATCTCCCAAGTGAAAGTCTGTTTCTGCTTCCTCAGCCACTTTATAACCAGATGGTTCATAGCACAGCAGAAAAGGAAGACATCGTCTTCTGAGAGGATGTTTACATTATAGTTACTGACATGTAGTTGACTTGCCATTTAGCAAACATACCAGAATTTTTATATTTCCATATTCCAGTGAAGGTTGTTTCTATCAAAGCAGGTCTTTTGAGAGGCCGTGTGTGTGTGTAGACTTAACTGCCATTGCTGACATCTTTATTGGTCTCCAGGAATGTATATATATTTATATAAATACTTAATGTTACCAGGAGTGCCAAATCATTGTCCATCCAACAGGATAATTTTAAGTTAGGCAAGTTTCAGAGCAAAATCTGGAGAATGCATTAGATGGTGATGTATGAGATTGTAAGACCCAGTTATGGGTTGTGGCGTTGGCAGTAGCAGCGGAAGAGAAGAGACATTTGTGGGATACTTAATGAGTACAGATCAGCAGGAATTGGGAATGGATTGGACTTAGGGACAAAGGAGAGGGATGTGATGAAGATGACAGTGAAGTTGAAGCTTCCTTGCTAGGTTAGGCTGAGGGAGGGCAACAACTGATTTAGCAAGATAAGTTGGACAGAGGGGGAAGGGTGGGGATGTGCAGTGATCCATTATGAACCTTTTATGTGTTAGACTGTGAGAGAGAACAATGGTCTGAACGTTGTTGGCCATAAAAATGGAGAAGAGGGCAATGTTGGCTTTTATAGGATTTCTAAAATGGTGCCAAAATTTACTTTGGTATCACACTGGTTGTGTGTAGCCTTTGTTTTCAGGAAGTTGCCAGAATTATGCATAAATGTTTATGACAGAAAGATTGAAGTGGCTCTCAAGTATGTATTTTAAATGCATAGTTTTGCATTTGACTGCAAACAATAAAACTTAGTTTCTTTTCTGTCTTTTCTACTAGGACTTAGAAGAACAAAGTCGGTTGATAGCTGCTTCCAGTAGACCAAACCAAGCCAGTAGTGAGGGGCAGTTTGTTGTCCTTAGCAGTAGCCAGTCAGAAGAGAGTGATTTGGGAGAAGAAGGAAAGAAAAGAGAGTCAGAAGCATGAACTTATCCTTGCTTTTTGGTTGGTATTCCCCCCTTGGAATTTATTGACAGTTTCTGTGGTGAAATGGCACAAGGTAACAACTATGTTGAAATATCAAGGAGACTAAAGTTTATATTTGCTTGTTTGTTTTAACTTCATTTTTTAAAATAAGATTGATCTTGATCACTTAGGTTTGCATTGATTTTTTTTCCTTAAAAATAATATACTATGCAGTAACATCAAATTCCACGTGTCAAAGAGAAACCTGTTCATCTCCTTGAAGTAGATTGCTGAGGAATTATACTTGCTCAAGCCTTTTTTCCTTCAAATTGTGAACTTCCTATCTTGCATTGTAATTGGCTCTGACCATAAGATACCTTTTATTCTTCAGCTTCAGATATTCATGGATATGCTCCCTCTTCTCATTAGGAACATTTTTGCTGGCAGTGAGGAAGCTTTTGACTGAATCAGTTCAAAACCCTTTATACAGAGAATTCTACAAGTTTGCAAATATTTTAATTATTAAATGTGCAATAGAACTTTTATATAAAATAATTAGAAAAAAGATTTTAGACTTAAGGTTTCAAATTGTGGCAGGTGGTCCTGTGATTTCAGGGCACTTTCTTGGATTGCTCACATTTCTCTGATGTGAGCAATTTCTTCTTTCCCACCTGATGCCAGTGGGAAAGAAGCTTAAGTGTCTTCAGTTCAGGATTGATACAGCCCGTGGCATTTAATTATCACATTCTTAGTTCTCAGGTTGGGACTTGAATTATTGCTGCAGAGCAGTAATGATTAAAATAAGATTTTGGAATTTATTAAAAGGGATTTTTTTTTTTTGTTCAAGTACATTTTAGATTAGGACTTAACATGTAAAGACATTGTTACAGGATAAACGTATTTTCTGCATTGCGTGAAATAATTTTTATTGAAAATCAAGTGACATTTCAAAAGAAATTCTGTAACAGTTTCCTGCTTAAAGTAAAAATGCCCAGAGTTTAGTTTAGAAAATGTAATCTTTTAAATTTCAGACTGATATGCACAGTATTTTCGTAATTCCATGTTTTGATAAAATACTGATCACCACTTTATATCCACGAAGGCAAATAACTAATATATGAGAATAGAATAATTTGCACTAATTATTGTAAATACTTGTACTCTCAAATGAGTAAAAGGTCTAATTCCATGAAAGACTGAAAAGAAATTGAATGTTTGGTTTAAGAGTGACCAAGGAAGGATTTTAGTTTGGTGCCAAGGTTAAAATGACATTTCCCTACTGCCGTGTCAAAACTTGATTTTTTTTTTTTTTTTAACATTGCTGATAGAAATTATGTTTCCTTTGTTTCACATGTAAAACTATATAGAAACAAGTTAAATATATTGAATAGATAGTCATGCATCTAAAATTTCAAGAGATTAGCCACTTCACAACTAATTATACGAGGGAAAAGCCCTTTGTTCTTTGATACAGTCTTGTCTTAGTTCTGAATTAGAGACGGCATCTATTTTAGCTCTCACAATACAGTGTGGTTTCACACTGTATGCACACTGCTTTCTGTGGAAGGGGATAATTACATATAGGATCAGGATATTCTTTGTATCCATGTGCCAAATGGGAATAATGATTACTTGATAATCATTATTTTGAATCCTTATATTCACAAAACATACAGTAACAAAGTAGAAATTTATGGAATACTTTTTGAAGAAAGTTGACTTTGTGCTTACTTTGGGAATGCTTTCACAATAGTTGGTGTATCATTCCTTTGGTAGAAGTTGAAATTTCTGTGGTCAGCCCTTGATTCGTCATGGTAGGTCCTGCTGTTAAGACCTTTTTGAGAATTAACTCTCTGTTTCATAAAGTCTTGTTTATGCTATTAAGTTGTCACCTCACTTAGTTCAGATGAAACTTGTCACCCTACAATGAAGGTGGTCAGCTTTAGGAGGCAGTTTGACTAGGCCAGTGCTGTGCCTGGTAATGAGGTGCTGCTGCCCTTTGTTAGTTCGCTGGGTCAAAGTGAAGGCTAGAGTCAAAGACACTGGCAGACTTCGGGATGCTAGACAGACCGGTAGTTCCTTTTAAGTCCTGTTTTGATAGGAATTTCTACAATAACACACCCATTTCCACAGATCAGACCAAAGAGCCTTCCAACACCAAATAGAAATCGTGTGTGGGATTAACAGTTTTAGATATTTCAACTTTTGGTCCATTGCTATAGAACTATACGAACTTTGCATACTGCAGATATTTAGGCATCAACTTTAAAAAACTCTTCTCATCGGAGAACCTTTTTGTTTGAAGAAGGCTGCCTGTGTGTTTCTGCATAATGTTAAAGCTGATCTTGATTTGTTACCCTTTGAAATCCCTTCTGGCTCTTGGGTGCTTTGATGGTAATTGAATTAGAATTTGGGATAGCTTTCTCCGATTCCAACTTATACTTGATGGTTTTAGAAACTAACAAAATTGATTCTTTAAAGAAAAGAAAGTCTACCTAATTCAGCTATGCACTCTGCTACCTATAAGAACAGTACTTGTGTAACGATGGTAATGAAGTCGATAGGAAACTAATTACTGCTTCTCCCTTTAAAAATTTTAAAACTGTTAACAAAGGGCTGAACAGAGTCCCCAAAGCCAGGCTAGTTTTTGTCATTTCTACAATGATTAGTTTGTGTTTAATTTCAAAAGAATTCTCAGGCCCTAGGGGTGGTAAAATTATTACTTTTATGCTTGGGGAAAGGTATTAGGGTATGCATAACATTCTACGTAACATACAGTCTTAGGTGGTAAAGGCATCTGAGTTACTTTTGAGTTATGTGTAGGAACTACAAATATTTAAGATTTAATTCCTACTATAAATGCTGACAGACCCTAAGATCCTGTGTATCGCAAAACCTTCTGCTACCTGAATTAATAAAATGAAAATACTAACATTGGTTTTGACAACAACCTGCTAGCATTCAAATTGTACTTTAAATATTCAAACACACTGATTGTAGCAAGCAAGCCTTTCATTTTATTTTAAGCAACTTTGGCTTACTCTTCTTTCATGAATTTTGTTCTGCATTAATAACACCTAAAGATTTGAAACTGGACCCCCATGTACTACACTTTTTACCTAGTCTCTTGTGGCTGGTTGTACTCATGTAATTTACTTCAGCTAATATGAGAACCGGGGTTAAGTTATAACTAATGTGCAAAAGTGCTCTGTATATTTGGTGATTTTGTAATGTTAGTGAATTGGTTATCTCACTGATACTGTTAATCATGCATATATACAATTAAAAATCATGCTGCATTTCCCTTTAGAATTGAAGAGCTCAACTTTATGTAATGGTGGTATACATGTGGGGTGGAGAGCTTATTTTTTTCATTTTGTCAAAGTAGGTATTCTCTGACAAGGCTTCAGGATATATGCTTTTAGGAGATTTTTAATGTATAATAAAGTCCATGATTTTTGTATAGTCTTTTTTGTATGAAGTATTTGATATATACTCTGAATTTTATTTCTCCAAGTAATTCCAAATGATGCTTGTGAAACAAATGGACTTTTTCTTAGTATGTTATGACACTTATAATTACACATCTAGCCCCACTGCAATTCCCTAACAGCTAAAATGAAAAAAAAAAAGTCACTTAACTGAGAAATAATACAAATTCATCACTCGTGACTTTTCTTTTCTTTTAGAAAAACAGACTTCTCAATAATAACCCTAGACATGTTACAGACAATATGTACTTGCTATGGTTGGCCCTATTCAAAGAAATACATATATTTAAAGGAGCAGGTTATTGTGTACACCAGCTTAAGTGGGCTTGGCCTGTAATTTTAATACCAATACATATTTGTCCCATGTGCTCTTTATATTTGCCTATAACACCAAGTTCTTTTCTTCTGGGAGTTTCTGTTCTAATTTGTTTTTATAAACTATATATACTTTTAGAAGGTCCAGGGAGTGGATGAAACTATAGAATTATGTAATTTATCTAAGTGCATGTATATCCTAAATATATTTGTATATTGATATATCTATAATCCACTACTCACTTATAAACGGACACCACAATTTGACTAAAAAAATAAAAATTATTCATGCCAGCAAATTTTGCAAGTTTTTAATGTGAAAATTATATCATTAAAAGTAATTTTATGTCTGTGCTTACTGAATTAGTCTGTATAGCCATGAATCCCCACATCAGAAAGAAATCCTATAACTTCAGTTTCCCTAAGATGGACTATATTATGCTAAAAAAGTATACTAACATTAAACATAAACAACAAGGCTATGTTGACTGGGTCTGTGGTGAAAATGAACCTCCATCATCCTATCTACCACTGTGTTCTTATTGATTTGCCATCTAAATGCTACACAGGGGTGGCTGAATATATGTCTCCTCAGTTTCTTTCCTCATTTTTTCACATATAGAAATCTGTACTTACCTGCAGCATAGAACATATAGAAATAAAAATTTAGCCAACATTCTGTAACTGGTATCACAGTTCTAAGAGGGACGTTTATAGCAATACAGGCCTGCCTCAAGAAGTAAGAGAAATCTCAAAAGACGTAACCTTACATCTAAAGGAACTAGATAAAGAACAAACAAAACCCCAAACCAGCAGAAGGAAGGAAATAATAACGATTAGAGCAGAAATAAGTGATTTAGAAACAAAAAATAGAACAGATCAATGAAACCAGGAGCTGGTTCATTGAAAAGATCAACAAAATTGATAAACCTCTAGCCAGACTCATAAAAAAAAGGTCCAAATAAAGAGAACATCACAGAAATATAATTGTAAGAGATTATGAAAGATTATATGCTGACAAATTGGACAACCTAGAATAAATTTTTAGAAGCATAGCCTACCAAAACTGAAATAGGAAGAAATAGAAAATTTGAACAGACCAATTACCAGTAAAGAAAATGAATCAGTAATAAACTCCCAATAAACAAAAGTCCAGGACTAGATGGCTTCAGAGGTAATTCTACCAAACTTTTACAGAATTAATACCTACTCTTCTCAAGTCCAAAAAATAGAAGAGGGAAAACTTCCAAATTCATCCTATGAGGCCAGTATCACCCTGATACCAAAATCAGATAAAGACACCACCAAAAAAGTGAACTACAGGCCAATATCTCTGATGAACATAGATGCAGAAATCAAAATACTAGCAAACCAACAATACATTAAAAAAAATCATTCACCACAATCAAGTGGGATTTATTCCCAGGATGCAAGGGTGGTTTGATATTCACAAATCAATCAACATCATACATCACATCAATAAGAGAAAGGATAAAAACGATTTCATCTTAATAGATGCAGATGTTGACAAAGTACAACATCTATTCATGATAAGAAACCCTCAACAAAGTAGGTCTAGAGGGAACATACCCCAACATAATAAAGGCCATATATAAAAAACCCACAGTGAACTCAATGGGGAAAAACCAAAAGCTTTTCCCCTAAGATCAGGAACAAGACAAAGATGTCCACTCTCCCCACTTTTATTCAACATAGTACTGGAAGTCTTAGCCACAGTGGTTAGACAACAAAAAGAAAAGGCATCCAAATTGGTAAGGAAGAAGTAAAACTTCCACTACATGCAGATGACATGATACTGTATATAGAAAGCCCTAAAGACTCCACCAAAAAAACTGCTAGAACTGATAAACGAGCTCAGTAAAGTTGCAGGATACAAAATGTACAGAAATCTATTGCATTCCTATACACTAATAATGAAGCAGCAGAAAGGACTTTAAAAGAAAGAGAGGCAAACCAAGAAACAGACTCTTAACTATAGAGAATAAACTGATGGATACCAGAGGGGAGGTGGGTGGGCAGATGGGTTAAATAGGTGATGGGGATTAAGGAGTGCACTTGTG